ATATTGCTTCCATATTGGGAGTATGTGGATGAGTGAAAGGCACGAAGTGGTCCATCCAGCCCCCAATCACCCCTAATCAAGTTTTCTGAGGTTTTGCAGCAGTGCTGGGGACTTAGGTCATACAAACCACTATGTAGACCAGGAATAAGAGTGAGTGGCCTCTCAGCAGTGATACAGTCTAAGAAAATATAGCAAGGGAAGGGCTGAGTAAGTCATACCAGCAGAGGATGAAGTTACTATATATATGGAGCTCTGTGGTGTAGTGCCTAAGACACTTGACTGCTAACCAGAAGGTTGTTGGTCAAACCCACCAGCTACTCAACAAAAGAAAGACTGGGCAATCTATTTTTGTAAAGATTTACCACCTCGGAAACCCAATGAAGGTCACTATGATAAACATACATACATATAGCTATGAAGTCTGAGTGGGGCACAAGCAGCTTGGTTTTGGCTGCTAACCAAGCGGTTGGGTGTTCAAACTCATCCAGCAGCTCTGCAGGTGAAAGGTCTGACAAACTACTTCTGTAAAGAGTACAGCCAAGGAAACTGGAGCAGTTCTACTCGGTGATACATAGGGTCACAATGAATCAGGGGCCAACTCTGCTGCAGCTAACAGTAAATGCACATCTACTTTTTACCTAAGGAACTACCAGTGGGTGTTTTCTTTGGCAGAGGGAGAAATTATAGATCTGTACAATTAGCTAAGCTTATTATTTTTTATACATACCAACCTTAAAATTAAAGACTCCTTAAGATTTGGACCTGAAGAGTAATGAATGAGGTTTTAGAAATTAAATTACATTTTAAATTCTTTTATGAAGAGTCTTTTCTGAAGAGTTAAAGAGCCTTTGTAAAAGCAAATAATTACTTCCAGCTTATCTATTTGATAAGGCTGGATTTTTAGCACTCATTTCTCTTAGGCTGATCCATATATGTTTGGATCAAGTTCTGTCACAACATCAGTTACTACAAAGAAAATATTAAGGTTTTTTTAAGTCCCAGTAAGTGCATTTTATGGGCTCAAGTATAGCAGGGATTGTGGGGTTGGCGCGGGATCGGGCAGTGTTTTGTTCTGCTGTGCATGGGGTCACTATGAGTCGGAAACGACTCGACGGCACTTAACAACAACTAACGACAAAGTGCATTTTAAGTTATTATTTTTGTTACTGTTGCTACAATTATTGAATAGTCTTAGAACTTAATAATAGAAGTCCTACAGTTGAGAGAGTTATCTTACAAGGTGTTGGGGTCTGTCATGTATTCTAAAATGTGCCATTATCAGCTAATACAGATGCCATATGATCTCAATGTTTATAGGATTTCAATAATAGAAAACTTAAGAGAAAATCAAGCAAATTGCTGCATGAAGAAAAAAGATCCAGGCAGGAAAATATCAGGAAATTTGTCACTTAAAAACTTTAAGAAAACAAAGAGCACATTGCTTTGCTGCTGGTAGCAGAAGTGTTTGCATACTTGGTGGTAGAAATTTTTTTGAATGGAAAATGGATCTTAGTTCTGCTAATGAAGTATAAACCTATAGCACAGTGTGTAAAAGTAAGAATTGAATTTTTGTTAAAATAAGTCAAAAATGGAAAGTGACAATAGAATATATACACCTTTGCTAAAAGAGAATGAAAGAGAGGAAGGAAGGTGGAAGTGTGGGAAGTCGTACCAAACCATAATGGCAAAATAGCGACCAGGAGGTAAAGGAGTACTCCTTGTATACAGAAGGTTCTCAGCAAATGGCAGGTGTTTGTCAGCATTTCCCAAGCAGGGCAAATCTCACAAAATACTAGAAATAGGTGCAAAATAAAATAATCATCCCTATAATGAGCAAGAACAGTCATAATCATGGAAAAGAAAAATTGGCTCTTTACCTTGTTCAGCAAGGAGTATCTTATCTGTCCATATGTCCTTGGCATTCTTGCTGGAGAGGACAAGATATTTCCACTGGAACTGGATGGCATCAGTTCTTAGGAAATGTAGGTAATAACAGGAGCTAAAGAACTGTAGTTTGTGAGCTATTACCAGTTGATTTGAATGAGGTTTGTGCTCATTATAATTCGATTGTTTGAAATCAGAAAGCTCTAGTTATAGTGTCAGAAATATCCAGAATATTTTGAGCTAGAATCCTCTCTAGCCAGTAATGGCCTCTGTTTTGCTGGTAAAAATCCCAGCCCTTAAAGTCAGGAGAGGAAAAGAAGTATTAGCTCAGGATGTGTTAGCTCCTGTTTTTGTTGTTATGTGCCATCAAGTCAGACACGACTCATAGTGACCCCTCCTTGGGTTTCCGAGGCGATATCACTATGGAAGTAGATTGCCCAACCTTCCTTCCGAGGAGTGGCTGGTGGGTTTGAACCGCCAGCCTCATGGTTGGCAGTCAAGTGCCTGAGGCACTACGTGTTAGCTCCTAAGAAGGGGTCATATGGATTTAGGCCCACAGAAAGGTGAGAATGTGTATTATATCAATATGCCCTTTTGGCAAACCTCAGTAATTTAAATGAACTAAAAATAAAAAATAATGCATAAAAGAACAGAAATGAGGAAGAAAAGCCTTCAGGAAATTAATCAAAGGGGAAAATATACTAAAGCATATATGTACTTGAGTCATTCACTTCTCATCTAAAGTGACCAGATTAAAACACTTTTTCACAAAGCCTAAACTTCTAAACTTTTATGAACATATAAAAGATACTTTCACATTACTAAAATCTACTATATATTTCAGAATGCAATATTTATGATCTCGGTTTTGTTTTCTTTTCCTTTCTTTCTTTCTTTTTTTTTTTTTTTTTTGCCAAATTGAATTTGTGTAATATCTGAAACAGATTTTGCCAGGTACTTTGCCTAATTGCAAAGTATTGAAGAAACCATACATAAACTTAGCATCACTTCTTTTCTCATCCTTTTCACCATGCTGGAAGTTTTCTGTAGACTCTTTACAGGAGTAGTTTATGCTATTAGAGATAAGAGGCTCTCAGTGTTTCTAGTAGAAACCTCTATTTCCCAGAACTTATAACTGATCTGTAAATATTCATCCTAGGCACATATGTAATGAATCTGTCCCTCAAAATCTATGTTGACTTAACTAAATGATTTCTGGAAATCATGTAGACTTTTATATTGCAAAGAGAGTAAAAAGAAAAATCAAATGGAAATAAAGTACAATGTTTCTGTGACTATGACTTGAACAGAAATACTGTGTATCCATAAAATCTATGCACATAACTATTTCTGTGTTTCATAATTCTTTCTTAGTAATTCTGTCTTTCAGAATATAACTCACTTGTAATAAAATTCACTAAATTATGTGCAATCTATTAATTCTAAATATATTTTTAAACATTTCTGATTTTGTAAAGTCAGCTAAAATTTAAAATTTGACAATTATATTTTCTATTTTTCAGCTAAAACTTTTGCAGAACTTACTAATACTGTACACATGTCTCTTACATTATAGTGTTTGAGATGGAACTATATCAATATCAATGAAATTATATGATATATGAATCTTGGAATATAGTTAGGCCCTTAATATCCACAAAGAGATTTGTCAATTTCTTATGATCAAATAGTTTTTAGCCCTTTGGTAGAAATCCTTAGCATTCTGGAATGAGTTGTTTTCTACCTGTGTGGGAGTACTCATAAATTTAATGATTCTAAAAAAGTAATAGGTAAAAATATTTTCCTTTCCCCAATGTGGAAAAATAAAATTGTAAAAACTGGGAAACTGATTAAAATTGCATCAACCCATTAAAATGAAGTGCTCTCTTCTTAATCTCATTATTTTAATTTGTGTACTCGTTGATTTACATTTCTTGAAATAACAATAATCTTGTCACACTTTTGAGCTCAGCTGTGTGTGTTGTTGTGGTGGGAAAAAAAAAAAAAAAAAAAATGCATTCTAATACGGAAAGACAATAGAACTCAAAAATGAGAAATGAAGAAACCTACTAAAGTACTGCTAAAGAAATTATAATACTGTTTGGTTCGTTAGTCTCTGGTTGCGGTCACAAGGAGGTTGGATTTAGGGTGGGATATAGGCTTCTATGGGAGCTCTGGTAGCATAGTGGCTAAGGCACTTGACTGCTAACCAGAAGGCTGATGGTTCAAACCCACCAGCCACTCCTCGGAAGGAAGGTTGGGCAATCCTACTTCCGTAGTGATACTGCCTCGGAAACCCAAGGAGGGGTCGCTATGAGTCAGGGCTGACTCGACGGCACATAACAACAACAACATAGGCTTCTACTGGATAGTTGAGTATAGAGGCTTACAGTTACTGATTTCAGGAACTAATGACAGAGGTTTTCAATCATAGTCACATATCCTTCAAGTGGGATCATAAAACATCATTCATGGATGTTTCAACAGTTTTAACCAGATGTCTCAGGAGTTTGTGAAAACCATCTTGATGTCGGGGTCTCATTTCCCTAAATCAATTTATTAAACAAAAACCCTTTAAGTTGTCTAAGAAACTTTAGATAAATCCACCTCCAAAAACCTTTGAAACAATCCTCTTTATTTCATTCTTGTCATGAAGAAATATATCTTGGGCTTACTTTATACAAAAGACAGCTGTGTCAAGATTCCCTTCCTTACAGGGTATTTCTTTTATATCCTTGGTTAGCCATAGAGAGAAATTATGTCTTAGTTTTTAATGGGTTCTAGCAATTAACATAGCCAGATAACAGGAGCTTGTGGGTTTTGTGTTGATTCTGCAGCGAAGCAAACATAGAGGCCCAGGCAGGCAGGCAGGCAAATAAAAGACCAGTTTAATTCAGCAAGCACTGCGTTTAATTCAGTCATTTAGTTTTGATTTAAAAAAAAAAAAAGGTGAGAGATGTTTTAGGAATTTCTCCTTTACAATGTGAAATGCTGTCTAGCAAGAATCTAAATAATGTTGGAATAATTCCTTTCATGCTTTGACTTCACTGTGTGTACACAAAGCCTAATGTAAAGTTTATGTCTCTCTCTCTTTTTTTTCTTTTCAAACAGCTATTTTGTGACAGTAAAACTGTGGTGCATGCCACAGAGGGGCTGGATTGGGAAGACAAAGATGCCCCAGGGACATTGGTTGGAAACGTGGTGCACTCCAGGATCATCAATCCACTGCGCCTGTTTGTTAAACAGTCTCCAGTGTCAAGGCCGGGTCACCTGGCCTATACAGACAGCATGGAAAACTTCTGGGACTGGTTGGCCAATATTACAGAAATTCAGGAGCCATTGGCTAGAACTAAACGTCGGCCAATAGTGAAAACTGGAAAATTTAAGAAAATGTTTGGATGGGGTGACTTTCATTCCAACATTAAAACTGTCAAACTCAACCTCCTTATTACGGGAAAAATTGTCGACCATGGAAATGGAACCTTCAGTGTTTACTTTCGACATAATTCAACAGGTCTAGGCAATGTTTCAGTGAGCTTGGTACCCCCTTCCAAGGTGGTGGAATTTGAAGTTTCCCCCCAGTCTACCTTGGAGACCAAGGAATCCAAATCTTTCAATTGTCGCATTGAGTATGAGAAAACAGATCGGGCGAAGAAGACCGCTTTGTGCAACTTTGACCCTTCAAAGATCTGCTACCAGGAGCAGACTCAGAGCCACGTTTCTTGGTTGTGCTCCAAGCCTTTCAAGGTCATTTGCATTTACATTGCCTTTTACAGTGTTGATTATAAACTTGTGCAAAAGGTCTGTCCTGACTACAATTACCATAGTGAGACTCCATACTTATCCTCTGGCTGACTCTTTACACAGTGAGGGAAATGAGGTACAGATGTATATAGTTAGAATGCCCAGGAACCAAGCCTAGCTCTTCAGGGTAAAGGATCCCATTTGTTTCTGGCAGTGAAACTTAGTTCCCCATCAAGTTTTCAAATTTAAAAACCAGAAACATATGTAAATGTGAAATGTGATTGTTTCAATCATAAGTACCTTAATCTAAACAGTCAAACTGCTTATAAAACCACCATTTTCATGTAAGATGGCTAAGTTCTACAAATACTGTTGTTTCTCTAAAAGAAGCATTAATGATAGCAACATGTGATAAAAAGGAACCAAATTATGCATGTGATAAACAGTGCTCTTGAAATGAGCTTGCCATTGAAATGTGTTTTGGAAAGTTACTTTAAAAATAGCAGATTCAGAAAAGTAACTAAAAAGATTGTACTTGTTAGATGAATCATGTTTCTGATATGGAATTCTTCTTTGATTGCTGTCTTTCTCCCACATCTGTGCTGTTATTGATATGAAAGATGAAAGGATAAAACTCATGTGTGAAGTTACAATGCCACAGTGGAACTAAATGAATTAGTATTTGAGATAGAGTTGAGTGGATTGTGATTTAAGTACTTAGTCCTGTGTTGGTCACAGGCCTTGTGATTTCTCATCTGGCTAATAATTTTGGCAGAGCCATGACAGTGGATTAGGTGCCTTGTATTGGGAAAGCAAATTTGGATATATTGTAAATCAGTTCAATAATAATGAAGATCATGAGTCACACTGTTTTTAAACTCTTATTTCTTAGGCTCTGTTGCCAAATTCAGTGCTGTTAGGTTAAAATTAACACTGGATTATCTATATTCACCCTGTAATTTATAACTTCATTCTACTTACTTGACTTACTGTGATTTCATACATGTGTAAAACAACTCTGAAAGCCAGGACAAGAGATTATTTCCTAGGTTAGAAAGAGAAAAGATTGTAGGTATCAGGAAGAAATTCTACAATTATGGCTTCCTTATTTCTAGCCTCCAAGATTAAATTTTCCTTGAAACCAGTTTTCACCGAGTTGATTGCAACTCATGCCAACTCCATGTGTGTCAGAGTTAGAACTGAGCTCCAACAGGTTGTCAATGGTTGATTTTTTTTTTTTTTTAAGTAGATCACCAGACCATTCTTCCAAGGCCTCTCTGAGTGAATTCTAACCTCCAGCCTTTCGGTTAGTGCATTAATGGCTTGCACCACACATGATTCCAAGTTTCCCTTAGATTTAATTAATTGTTTAAATGAGAGTCAAAATCTATGAGGAAATAAAGAGTAATAATTCAAGTTCAACAATTATTAAGTGCTGATAACTGAGATACATAACTCAATCAGGCTTCTGAAGTTATTTCTAAATAATATGCTACTTTTCCAATTTGTGTCCTTGGCAGGTAGTAAGCAGTGACCCTGTATCACAGAGCTAGATGATCTTCTCATTAACACAGAAAAAGGTGCTGGTCGACCAGTATAACGGCTTCTCGAACTCTGAAGACTCATAGAATAGTTACTCTTTTTACAGTAGATGTTCATTTGTTCCCCTCTTCTTTGTAAAATATCCAATTAAAGTAAAACATAAAATCTAGGACTAAAGACAGGTCTTAACCAACAGAAATAATCTTACCACATTGTTTAAAAAGCTAATAGCTTCATTTTCACTTTTACATCTCCATTCTTTTCCTTTCACTGGTGATATCTGCACAGTGTTCAATTTTGTCCTTTTGTATAAATTGTACTAAGCTTAGTGTGTGGTAGTAAGGCTTGAAGTTTTTTTGCTCTGAGCTCATCAGGTGCTTTTGTAATTTTGTGGTTGGTAAGTAATATTTTGAGACATCTTTTTATTTTCATCTAAATACAAAATTAAAATACTGTTTATTGTCAATATGTGGGAACCATGTATGTATATATACTTAGAATTTTCTGTGTACAGAGGAAGTATGTGTACACATTTCTATGTAAATAAAAACAATTTGCTAAATCTGTCACATGACTTTAGGGTGGTTATTTTTAAGCACTGTTCTCATTTCCTCTTCCATAGGCTACAAAAGCAAAACACCTGCCACTGAGGCAATTTTGAACCATAACAACCCATGTACATCAGAGTAGAACTGCACTCCATAGGGCTGTCAATGGCTGTGACCTTCCAGTAGATTTCCAAACCTTTCTTCTGACATGCTTCTGGGTGGACTTAAACCACCAACCTTTCAATTAATAGCTGAGTACTTAACTGCTTGCACCACCCAGGCAGCCAGCCATGTGTATTTATACAGTCATATGTCACTTAACGTCACGATATGCTCTGTGAAATAGGACATTATGTGATTTGGATATTGTGCAAACACCATATCATAGTCTGGTCTGATCTTTTTTTTAAGCATTTTGATCAAGCTTCATGCCTTAGCAGTGGTCATCATTGTGCTGAGAGGGATTTGTTTCTGTGTTTGATCTTCAATCCACATCATTTGCAATTCTCCATACCTGATACAGGTCCCTCTCACATTTTTGTTAGCCTTGTAGCTTTCAGTGGACCCAATCTTTTAACAGGTAGGAGCATTTTTTCTTTGTTTTTGTGGATCATCAGCATGGCCAAATCACAATAGCATTCACTGATTTTCCACCTTCAAATTGTTTAATAACCTTTTTTGTTTAACTTCCAAATTGATGTTTCTACTTTGCTCCTTGCTGCTGCTATCACTAACATTACTTTTGCTGAGTTTGGAAGCCATGGTGTACTTCACAGTAACATTTTTGAACAAAAATTAAACAGATAACACTACACCACTTAAGACATGGGCAATATATGAGATTGGATGCTGCTACCTAGGAATTGAAGCATACACTGTCGTATGGTAAACTTTTTAGGTAAAAATACAGTACACAGTATATACATAAGCCAGTAATATAGGCATTTATTTGGACTATCAAGAAATATATATTATAGGCTATATATATGTTGTTGTTGTTGTTATGTGCCATCGAGTCAAACCCAACTCATAGCGACCCCTCCTTGGGTTTCCGAGGCAGTATCACTACGGAAGTAGGATTGCCCAACCTTCCTTCCGAGGAGTAGCTGGTAGGTTTGAACCACCAGCTGTCTGGTTAGCAGGCAAGTGTCTTACCCACTATGCTACCAGAGCTCCCATAGGCTATATATACTGTACCATTATACACCTGGTAGCACTATCGCTTTGTATGCAAGAGACATGAGATACATGTGTTATATGCAGAAAGCTGTTGCATTCGTACATCCCATTCCCAACCAAGGTTGCAAATTCTATTAGCTTTATGAGACCACAGACATATATGTAGCCAGACATTGCCCAAACGGATGTTATGTGGTACATGACTGAATGTGTGTGTGTATGTGTGTGAGTATATAAAATACCAGCTGATCATTAAGATTTTTCCTATGTGCATACTAAACAGAGCAGCTTGGCTATAGAGATTATGAAGTCGAATAATGAGAAAATTCTATTAAAACACTGGCAGATAGTCTGACATCTAGGAAGAACTCTATAAACGTGAGCTGCCATTACTATCATTATTATTACTACAATATGAAATAAGACTTAAGCCTATCCAATGTTCAAAAGTTGAGTGATAGAAAACTATTTCCATAGAAGAAAAAAAAAATAGTCATTATGCACAGTTCTTAGATTTTAGTAGGGTTTGTAGCATTTAAAAAATAAAATTTCTCATAGGCATATTTTTAAATTGGAGTAGAACATATGCCACATATATTCCTAAGTCATAATTTTATTTCAAAGTTGACATAATTGTCAGTAATGGTACTTGGCACAGTATAAATAAGATCCATTTAAACATGCAAGTGCTCACATTTCTACATAACCATTTTTGCCATTGAAGAAAAGGACATTCATGTAAATATATTTTGCAACCAGTTAAAAACTGTTCAAAAGTGAAAAGAACAGACCCTTAGAAAAATTATAGTTGAACTATAATTATGCATATTGATAACCAATTTTAAAAAGGGAGATCAATCCAATATTGACATATAAAAGAGTGACAGTTTAGAGGGAGTGCAAACTACACCATTTTCTAACCAATCTCTCATTTTACAGACAAGGAAAACAGGTCCCATGAGAGCGAAAGATATGTAGTAGTAAGTGGCAAACCCAACTTAAATACAAGTCTCTTGACACCTGTTGTTGTTGTTATGTGCCGTTGAGTTGGACCCGACTAATAGTGACCCTTCCATGGGTTTCCAAGGCGATATCACTATGGACGTAGATTGCCCAGCCTTCTGAGGAGTGGCTGGTGGGTTTGAACTGCCAGGCTTCTGATAATCAGTCAAATGCCTTAGGCACTATGCTATTAGAGTGACTAGTACTCAGTTTTCACATTTAAAAAAGTAAGATGAAGCAGGTATTCAAGATTAATTGTCATATTTATCAGTTTTCCTTCTAAAAGAATCAAACTTGATAAACAGGTGTATTGAGATAATTTTAAGGTGAATTAGTAACAAGACATGATTGAGAGGCCAAATCTAACAATGAAAGTTGGAAATACTCTCGCTCCAAAATCTTTAGATTTATAATTTCTTTAAGAACACAATTTTGCAAAACTACATTGTGGATGGAAAAAGTCACAATAGATCATAATATACAAAGATAAAGAGTTCTGGGATATAATAGAGATATAACTGGCTAAGAATTAATGGTGCTGTAACACTAATTTTCAGAGTGTTCAAGTGACATAACACCTGAGTTTATTTTCATAGAAAATCATAACATACCTAGAGTACCTTCATTGCCTAAACTTCCAATTTTATCTAAAGAGGAATTAACTGCCCCATGCCTTTTATTTGTTGTAAAGCTATAGTTAGTCCAAAGTTATTTTATCAAAATTTCCAATGAATGGAAATTTAATATTGCTGATTGTAAGAGACAAATCACACGAATACAAACTGCTATTAGGAGATTTTTTTCTTCAGAAGAATCTTGTAGAAGATATTCAGAGGTCATTTCATATCCATCCCTGCATCCTACCTCATAA